ATGGATGGATGGATGAACTGACTTCTGCTTGAACATCTCACTGAAAGATTCATCATCACCTTCTTTGAGAATTGGTTCTACTGTCAAACTGTTCCTACCATTTCCCTCCTCATTCAACTGTAACTTGCCTTCTTGGAACAAGATCATTATTCTGTTACCCAAACCCTGGGTTGATCCTGCAGTAATGAGTTCCTACCTATAGATCACTCCCTTCCTCAATGTTTCAGGTAAGTTACAGTGCTATTATATTCCTCTCCTTGACATCTTTTCTCAAGGTTAAACATACTCAACTCTTTCACTCTCCTAGGACTTTATTTTTGGTCTCCTAACCAGCCTTGTTGACTTTCTTTTCGCCCTTTGTCTGAACTCTTGATGTTCTCTTGCACAGCATACAGAACCACACCATTCCTTGTTGCAGCTTTACTGCTTGGTAATTTATAGGCCCATAAATCTTATGATGTTATTCAATCCAACTAAAGTTGAACCAACTGGACAAAAAGCTGTGTTTCCTAGCATTTTGCCTGAGGCCACAATAACTAGTCAACTCTGCCTGGTTTATTGCTAGTGTTGGAAACCCCCCCCCCATTTAATTATTTTATAATCACAACAGCAGTACCTTTTACACCTGTGCTTCCTTCTCCCTCTAATACAACAAGGGGTTTCAGTGCCCTAAAGCAAAGAAAGGATGAAGGTACCACCACTATGGAGAAAAAAAGGTGAAATTTACTGAATGGGTATAGTTGAAGAATAGCTTGGTACACCATTATGTAGCATTAACAACACAAAGTGAGCATTGGCAGGAAGCTTTGGTGACTTAAAAGACTTGAAACCAGTTCAAGACTTCCAATGGTGACTATATCCAATTGCTGTAAGTTATCTCCAGCATCAAAAGAGCCCGTTTGGTCTAGTGGTTAAGCATAAGGCTAAAAACGAGGAGACAGTGAGTTCTAGCCTTGCCTTAGGCACAAAGCCAGCTGGTTGACTTTGGGCCAATCATTCTCTCTCAGAACTAGGAAGAAACTACTGGTGACCACTGACAAAAATGTCACCAGGAGTTAGGACTGACTTAAGAAGCCATAACAAGAAACCTTCAGGATCAGAGATAACAGGTGCTAGGAAACACAAGCATATAGTTTTAATTCCAAAACATTTGTTTGGCCAAGAAGGGAAGATTTGACCTCATGGGCAAGAAGTTCTTCTTATATTTGATGTTTGTTGCTATACATAAGCATTTTCTATGGATTCCACATCAACCGTTGTCCTCCTCAATACCATAGCATTTACTGCTCTCAGTTTCTCAAATGCAAATACCTGTGCTGTAAAAATAGGTTGGGGAGTAGAAAGTAGGTCACCATTTCTCTGTATAGGATATATACTCTGGCAGTTCACTGAAAAACTAATCTTTGAATCTCCAGAAGACCCACCTCCCATTTCCATGCTAAGATAAAACATGTTGATAAAGTGACAGATCAACCCATCAACTAGGATCTATTACAGAGGCTAAACCATAGTTTAGAATGCCATGCAAACTCAGTGACCAGGTTCACACCCTAAGCTGTTTACTGATTTTACCCCTTTTTTCTATATTTGTAGAATGCAATGAATCAAAGCAAAGATTCGCCCCCAACTCTAACAAAGGGTCAAAGGAACCAAGCTTAACAAGTTACAGGAGAAGCAGTTGAGAAGCCTTTAATGGACTCAGGTTCAGCTGCTTTGTGAACACAACTTGATGGGAAGCAAATCAACAGCAGCTACATCTTCTAGGAGAGCAGCATTTGTTGGTTCAAAAATACTTTGCATCCTGAACATTTGTTGCAGAGGACAGATTCAGAAGGATCATCACCCCAGGCAAACTCCAAGACCAGATCATCTTTCTCTGTTATTTTCACTAGAAGTCCATCTGAAAGTTGGCACGCAAAGGCTGTGTAACGTAGCCACGGAGTTGCTGAGATTTAGAAACTCTTGTTCAGATTTGCTCTCAGCCAGGAAATCTGCTCTGAGCAGGGGTCTTGCTGCTCCCTTGGTGCTAGCTAGCCTGTCTCCAAGGGCTGCTATAAACAAGCCTGACATCTGTGGAGGAAGGGCAGGACTTAAGAAAAGGAAGTGTTTAGAAAGCCCAAGAAAGGAAGGAAAGGGAAAGGATGGAAGGGGAAATAGAAGGGCCAAATAGGAAAGGAAAAGAAAGGAAAAGGGAAGGAGGGGAGGGAAGTAGAAAGGCCAGACAGGGAAGGGAAGGGAAGTAGAAGGGCAAGAGGGAAATGGGAAGGGGAGGAAAGGAAAGGAAAAGAAAAAAGGGAAGGGAAAGAGAGAAGGGGAAGTAGAAGGGCAAAACAGGAAAAGAAAGGAAAGGAAGTAGAAGGGCAAGAGGGAAATGGGAAGGGGAGGAAAGGAAAGGAAAAGAAAGAAGGGAAGGAAAAGAGGGAAGGGGAAGTAGAAGGGCAAGACAGGAAAGGAAAGGAAAGGAAAGGAAGTAGAAGGGCAAGAGGGAAATGGGAAGGGGAGGAAAGGAAAGGAAAAGAAAAAAGGGAAGGAAAAGAGGGAAGGGGAAGTAGAAGGGCAAGACAGGAAAGGAAAGAAAGTAGAAAGGCAAGAGGGAAATGGAAAGGGGAGGAAAGGAAAGGAAAAGAAAGAAGGAAAGGGAAAGAGGGAAGGGGAAGTAGAAGGGCAAGACAGGAAAAGAAAGGAAAGGAAGTAGAAGGGCAAGAGGGAAATGGGAAGGGGAGGAAAGGAAAGGGAAAGAGGGAAGGGGAAGTAGAAGGGCAAGAGGGAAAAGGGAAAAAGAACTCACCCATCTGAACAAACACAAGAGTTAAGCTACCCCATCAAATGCACATAGCTTTCATTCATAGACTTCCAGGAAAGTTTTCTCCTTCATTAAAAGAATACACAGCACAAATTAGGAAAGGCAGTGGGGGAGGGGGATTCTTTCTGCGCATTTGAGGCGCTGTGACCTTTCGTTAGAACTTCACTTGGCTCTTTCTTTCCTGTGCATTTCAAGTCCCTTTTCAATCCATCCAAGCCTGCTGAGATTTACCGGCTCAAAAGTCCAGCAGGTCTGTGGGCCGGATAACCATTTTCGGTAAATCAAGACAAGGTACTTTTCCAAGGGGGAGGGAGGAAGCGTGATGGAATACAGGCTCGCTTTTGTTTTATTAAAAACCCGGCTTGTCGGTTTTCCTGCTCAGCCCCGCCGGGGATCAGCCCCCCGCACCATCTTTTCCCCTCCGCTTCATCACTAACTTACCGCAAATCCATACATGCAATTTGTGGCTACGCTACTGCCCTGCCTAGGGCGAGGGGGGGGGGGCTCGGAGGTCATCACGCGCGGCTTTCGGGGCTCCTCGGAAAGACAACCAAAGGCGCGGCCGAAGAAGCCACCGACCGTTAGAGGGATGAGGAGGAGGAGGAGGAGGAGAAGAAGAAGAAAGAGAAGGAAAAAGAGAAGGAAAGAGAGAGAGAAGGAGAGAGAGAAGGAGAAGGACAAGAAGGAGAGAGAGAGGAGAAGGGGAAGAAAAGAAAGAGAGAAGGAGAGAGAGAAGAAGGACAAGAAGGAGAGAGAGAGAAGGGGAAGAAAAGAAAGAGAGAAGGAGAGAGAGAAGAATGACAAGAAGGAGAGAAAGAGGAGAAGGAGAAGGAAAGAAAGAGAGAAGGAGAGAGAGAAGGACAAGAAGGAGAGAGAAGGGGAAGAAAAGAAAGAGAGAAGGAGAGAGAGAAGGACAAGGAGGAGAGAGAGAGGAGAAGGGGAAGAAAAGAAAGAGAGAAGGAGAGAGAGAAGGACAAGGAGGAGAGAGAGAGGAGAAGAAGGAAAGAGAGAGAGGAGAAAGAGAAGGAAAGAAAGAGAGAAGGAGAGAGAGAAGAAGGACAAGAAGGAGAGAGAGAGAGAAAAAAAAGTCGGAACCGACCTAATGAAGACTCTATCGAAAAAAAATCAGGAGGCTTTGCTTTGTAAGTTTACAACCGTGCGGCTGTTTCATAAGACCAGCAAATCAACGATCCCGGGAAATAGTATTCTCCGAATCTGCGGAGCCACCCGACCTGGGAGCAAAGACGGCGCCTCCAGCTGCTCAAAGGGATCCCAACCACGCTCGTTCACACGGGAAAGAAGCTTCTGCCCGGATTAAAAGCGGTCGGTTTTTTTCTAACGACGGAGAATCTCACCCTTAGCAGGGAAGCAAAAGCAGCCCCTTCGGTAAGGGCGAGCAATACAAGACGGCCGGGAGCGCCGCTTCGGCTTTCCTCTCCTCTCCTCTCCCTGCATTTCGGGAACCCGCGTGGGCCGCCCGCGGGTTCCCTCCGAGCGCCGGAAAAGGGGAGAAGCCGCGCCGGCGGTGGGCAGCCGAGAGCCCCGGTTGGCCGTAGCACGGCGCGCGCCTTTCCTGGCGAAGTACGCCGGGCCGGCCTGGCTGGCCTCCGAGATCGCCGCCCGCTTTCGGCCAGGGAGAGTTGGGAAGGCGGCCTTTCGCGCTGCCGGAGAAGGGCGAGCCGGAGGAAGAAGTCGCCCCGGCGGGGACGGGAAAGCTGCGAAGGAGGCGAGGACGGGGAGCTCCGCTGGCCCTCCGCCTCCCCCCGGAGCCCGCGGGCAGAACCACGCGCGTCCCTTTGTCTCCCCGGCAAAAGGAGCAGCCCGCGTGTGGAACTCGCGGCGGGGGAAGGCCGGCTCGGAGCCCCAGTCCGGCTGCCGGTCCCCTCCCGCTCCGGCCAACAAAGCCCCAGCTGCGGCCGTTTGGTTTCCCCCCCCCCCCCATCTCCTGCCCCGGGCTCGTCTGCGCGGCTCCTCCGTCCGGGAGAAGCAGCTGCAAGTCCCGCTCCGTTCTCGCCTCCCCCCTCCTCCTCCTCCTCCGCATCGGCCGGGCTCGCCTTGTCTCAAGGCCGCCGCCGCCGCTGATGCGCGGACCAGGGACCGCCTCGCCCGGCTTCAACGGCGAGGTTAAAGTGGACGCCGCGCCGCCCGCCAGGCCCCTCCGAAGCCGCCCCCGGCCGCTCCTGTCCGCGCCTCCCACCTTCCCCGGACTCCCCGTCCTCGCGCTCGCTTCGGGGACAGTCCGGGTCAGCGCTCCGGGATCGCCCGCGGCATCCTCGCCGCTCCTCCGCCACCGCAAGCCCGCCCCTGCCAGCCCGCTTCCAAGCTCTCAAAGGCGGCTAGGCGGCGGCTCTCCTGTCCCCCCCCCCCGCCCGCCTTCTCCGAGCCTTCCGGAGCCGCGGCGGCCGCGAGTGAGTCCTTCCCCCTCCGAAGCCCGGACGCCGATGGCGTAGCTCCAGTGCCTGGGCACGCGCGGGGCTCCCGGCCGGCTTGAGCGGAGCCCGCCGGGTCTCCCGCAACTTCGCCTTCCGCCTCGCAAACTCCCCCAAGGAGCCCCCTCTCCCCGCCCCTTTCTCCATCTCCCCCCCCCGCCAAGCAACTCGACCCCCTCGCCGGGCCAGCGCTTCCCCCCACCCACCCCCGGCTGGGTCCCCTTTGCTTCCAAAGCCCAGCCGCTCCGGCGTCTCCTGCCCGGCTTCCCCGACACCAGCATCCCACCTGCAGCGGAGCGCTGGAAATTCAGCCCCAACACACACACACACACACACACACACACACACACCCCGCCAACGCCGAAATCCCGGACTCGTTTCGCCTGCCCTGTCCCTGTCCGCTGGGCGACTCCTTCGGCCCGTCCGCCCCACCGGGGGCGCCCCGCTTCCCTCGCCTCCAAAAGGCTTAAAAGGCAGCCAAAAGTTCCGGGCGAGGCAGGCGGGAGGGACCGAAGCCAGCGGCAGCATTAACAGCAGCAACAGCCCCGAAGAGCAAGCCCCGCTCGCCTCCCTTCCTCCCCGGCTGCAAGGCTCGCTCGCGGCCGGTGCCCGCTTAGCCTTTGGCGGCTGCTGGAGCAGCAGCAGCAGCAGCAGGAGCAGCGGCTGGTTGTTGCTGCTGCGAGCGCCAGCCCGCTTTGCCCGCCCCTGCGAGTCTGCGACGCGCCGCAACCCGGCTCTCTGAATGACAGCTTACCTGCATGCCAATCTTCATCAGACTGACACCGGCCTGACAGCGCAGCCTATACTCACTGCCTGGCCCTGCCGCGCGTCAACCCGGCCCCGCCCTCCGCGGCCACGCCCCCTCCTGCCGCCCGCGCACCGCCCCCAGGCCAGCCCCGAGCGCTGGAGCCGCCCCCGACGCGCGCGCACTCGGGACCCCCCCCCTCGACTCCTCCGGTCCTCGGCCTGTCTCCCCCTAGCGGACTCGCTCTGTTTAACCGCCGACGCGTCCCGAGGAGAAAGGGGGGGGCAGAAAAACTGCTTGCGGTGGTCAAAATCGGTGTTTCTCAAACTTGGCAACTATTTAAAGATGTGTGGAGCTCAACTCCCAGAATTCCCCAGCCAGCCATGGGCTTACCTAGGGAGGGGGATGGAAACCTCTACCTGCTGCAGCTGTGTGATCGTGTTTGTGCGGCCGGCATTGAGAAGAAACACACCAGCTGCTGGAAATGCGCTCTCAAGCAATCGAATCAGTGTTTGGCGATAGGAGGTTGTGGTTTTTTTCCCCCCTCCTAACTTATTTCTATGCTTTTCTTCAACTCGGCTGGATAAACAGGGTGTGCTATGGAACTAGATTGGATCAGATTATTTGAGCCAAACTCCTAATAGTTTATGTTCACACACACACACACACACAGAGAGAGAGAGAGAGAGAGAGAGAGAGAGATAAGATAACCTTTATTGTCATTTTTATACTGTGGGCATGATGGCACACATCAAAAATGAAATTTAGTTGCTCTCAAAGTGAAACACATACATGACACACACCTAAACATACTATGAACAACATATGTATAGACCCACATCCCTACATATACGTAGCAAATAAATATTAAATATTGTCCATCTTGAATATATAACGGAAGGAGGAAGCTTGAGCGTTCACAAGGTTAATTCTGTATGGAATGAAACTCTGGCTGAATCAACATTGAGGCGCCTGATTTGCTTAGAACGAGTTGAACACATTGGAAACTTTTTTTATTTTTATTTTTTTTATTGGATGCTGTCCAGAGACACTTTTTCATCAGAAGATCACCCACACAAATTGGATGGATGGATGGATGGATGGATGGGTGGATGGATGGATGAATACGCACAGAAATATTTCTTTCTGCTGTATATAATTACAGTCCCATCATTTCCAAAAGTGCTTGTATTACAAAATCAGCCCACTGGGGCTTCCCAATGTTTGTTCGTATTTTTAAAGCCATAATTAAAGTAAAGCAGAACTATTTGTGCAAAAAGGAGAAGCCCGCCATTGGATTGAAAATGTGTTCGGAACAAAAATAGAGCAGGGGCTTTCTAAGCCAGGAGGAGGAGGAGGAGGGGTTTATTCAAGTAAAATGCCCTGTGGAACTGGGCAGCATATACATTTGTTATGGCTAGTCTCCCAGTCAGTAAGATGTTAAGTTGGTTTTGATGGTTCTGTCCATCTATACTTTCCCAAGGACCTGAGATAGGCAGACATTATTTAATAATATTAAAGGTATCATTGGAAAAAGAACTGCAGAAAATCACAAAATACAAAGACCTGCAAAGAGAAGTAGAAGGGCTATTGCAAAAGAAAGCAAATATAGTAATAATAATAATAATAATAATAATAATAATAATAATAATAATAAACAAGTGGAGCACTACTTGAAAATCATTGGTGGCACTGACAAAGTCACCGTCGGTCAATTGCAAAAGGCAGCTTTATTTGGAGAGCTTACATCCTGTGTCAGTACCATCAAACATCAACGTCTGCCTATCCTAGGTCCTTGGGAAGGACTCAGTAGGTAGATAAACATGCCAAATCCAGTCTAAACAGCTGGCTGATTGTGTGAACAAATATAATAATATATTAAACTGGAATTCTTTTTAGCATGGGGATACCATGCCAACATAGCCCTTTGTACACTTAGGAAAGTGGGAGTTTATTTCTTGATACAGTTAATATGAATTCAGATCAATAGGTCTTTACTTACCACGAGGCTTTTTGGCAAATTTCTGTTCCATTTAAATAGCAGTAGCACCATATGGCTCAATTTAAGATTTGAATAAAAAAATGCAGAAAGAAGAGGAAGACAGAAAAAGATAACAGAAGGAGCGGGGGAGAGAGAGGCAAGCAATCATTCTAGGGCCAAGAATCCAGAAGTTGTTTCTATTTTGGCTATTTCCAGGAGTTTGGGCAGACTTAGCCGAGAGCATTACATTGTTGACCTTTTCTTGTGGGGGGCCTCATCCCAATCACACACTCTCAGTAGGAAACTGAAAACACAGCAAGACTTCTTGGCATGGTAGGTGGCAGAAACACAGAACTGTTGCTTGAGTTGCAGTGATTTGTTTTGTAAAAGGTAATAAACCCAAAGAATCACAAGAAGAGAAAATCAATCTAATTGCTGTAGAGCCGTGGTGGCGAACCTATGGCACGCGTGCCACAGGTGGCACCCAGAGCCCTCTCTGTAGGCACGTGCGCCCGTGCCCCAGTCCTAGGCCTTCAGCTGGGTTTTATAAAACCTTTTCGCTTTAAGCCTCTGCCGCCATGTGCAAAAAAAAAAGGTTCAATCAATTTCAACTTCTCATGGGGAAAAAAAAGATCTCGCAAAGTTGGAATTGATTGATTGAACTTTTTAGTCCCACCCAGTCTGCTGTTACCACCGCAGCCATGCCCACCCAATGGGCCATGCCCACCCAGCACCCAACGATACATAAGTGGGTTTTGGGTTGCATTTGGGCACTCGGTCTCTAAAAGGTTCGCCATCACTGCTGTAGAGGAACCTGAAACTGAAGATCAGGACCAAGGAGAGCGCTCCTGCAACTGAAGGAAAGACAAGTTACCCCGGAACTACATGGAAAAGTGGCAGATTTTTATAGTCCTTCCTTCCTTCCTCCCTCCTTCCTCCCTCCCTCCCTCCCTTCTTACCGCTTCCTCCTCCTCCTTTCCCCTTTCCTTCCCTCCCCACCCCCCTTGCTGCCCTACCTACCTACCTACCTACCTTCCTTCCTTCCTTCCTTCCTTCCTTCCTTCCTTCCTTCCCTGCTCCTTCCATCCTTCCTTCCCTCCCCTCCTTCTTTCCCCTCCCTCCATTCTTACCACTTCCTCCTCCTTTCCTTCCCTCCCTCCCCATCCCCCCTTGCTGCCATATTTCCTTCCCTCTTCTGCCCCTCTCTCCCTCCCTCCCTTTCTGAAAATCCTGCAAGGTCCTACTGAAAAGGATGCTATTTGAGGTTAGGGGACATATTTGAAATCCCTAATATTCAGGAAGCTATGGGGGGGGGGGAAACAGAGATTGGTTCCTGCTCTTCCTCATACCTGCTGTGTGCTCAAAAGCACTGATTTTGTTTTAAGACTTTCCCACTTAGGTTATTCAGCTGTAATGTTACGGCTCCCGGACAACATTCCATAGGTGGGTCATAAGGTTACTTGAATTCTTCTCTCCTAGATCAGAGATAAGACACTGGCCTGGAAGGGGAGATTTGAATATCCCACCCTAGAATTCAGACCCTGCAGCTGTTGCTTTCCCAGAGCAGGAAATTAAGATGGGAACTGCTTGTTCCCCTTATTCCAGAATTCATGTGAGAGAATCCATTATGTTCCTTGGTGGCTTGCAACTCAATATTCTGCAAATCAACTCTATTAGCAGAATACCATCCTATACAGTTGAATATCATCCTATACAGCATTTTTATTGCCAGGAGTTTTGATTAGAGAAATAGTTAGACATTTGGGCTACCTGTGCTAGTTTGCATGATTCATTCTGAGGGTATTCTTAATGTTAAAATAACCCAATTTAAATATGAATAACTGAATATATTTGTTAAAGTAGCTTTGATTAGTTTGTCTGAGAGATGCAGTTTTCCTTTCTCTTGCACTCTTATTTTCATTTTTGTACATTAGCAACTCATTATGCTGCACTACATGCCTGCATCAACCATTTATAATGGTTCTTGCAATGGTTATAGTAATAATTTTTACAAATTAATCGATTTCTGCATAGACTAGGCACCTTCTCTTCAAAATCTAGGGGGTTTTTTTCCAAACAAAAACAAAATACATTTGATGTAGGAATAATCATGTGAGCCTGCTGAAGTCAGATTTGTTCATAGATTGAAGGCCATTTGAGATGACAAGGAGGTGCTTTTACTT